TCAAACAAAGACATTCCCAGACATAGAATCCTTCGCTCCTTAACAAGAAGGAAAATAGTAGAGAAAAATTGGAAACTGTCGCATAAAAGAATGAGTATTTATAAACAGTAATTTTGTCCATCCTACAAAGAAAATTAAATGGGATTTGATCTGTTCATCTTGCATAAAAATTGCAAATCAAGTATGGTTTCCGCTATGAGTCTATGATAGGCATCGATGATGGCATGCAACGCAACTACATGAGTCACAGTCCTTACAATGGTTACGTTGATCTCATTAACAAAAATTAATCCTGCATTATCCTGATCAACAGGGTACAATGCTTCATCAATTCCATTAGGCTCGACCATGCAAAACTCACGCAGTCTTGTGCCATGGCTTGAATAGTAAAGCTCTAAGGAGTCCCTTGATTGGCAACCTCATACTATCCATTGCATAGCAGTCAGAATGTTCTGTTTTGTTGGGACCCTATAGGAGTCTGTCTCGTCTTCTACATATTCATGATTTGCATTACCAGTTAGCCAAAAAGTAACATTAATTCATGTTCAAATGATATATATTCACACTAAAATTTGTTACTTGAATGATTCATATACCTGATTACTTAAATTAAAATTAAGGCTTTGATACCATTCAAAAACCAAGAATTATATTAATGAACATCGAATAAATTAAAGAGACAAAGGAAGCTGAAATACCGGTGAGCATTAGTATGGAGTCAATAGGAAATCCTAGCTTCTTAGTCAAAAGGTACCTAATGCTCAAGACATCATTGACGCTTCCTTTGAGTCCATAACTCTTACCACGATAGCTAACTCCACAAAGCAGTGCCCTTCCCTCTCCATAAGGGAAAGGAGGACTTACACCAGCTTGGGGAAGAACATTACTAGGATTTGCAAAACGGGGGTAGAGTTTTTGACCCAAAGTAGCTATTTAGCAATTAATACAAGCAGCTATGGTGTTAAGTGATAAGATGTACTCTATATGCTTTAATTTATTATTTTAACCTTGATTTTGTTGCTATTTGAATAGATAAAATGTGATTTGTAATAGATTTCATATAATTTTCATTCTTTCTGAAAAAAGGACTTAAATGTATAACACTAAGAATTTTGGATTAATTGAATATTTTTTGAAAATTGAGGGATTAAATTGCAAGAAAAAAAGACTCTTTTGAAGAACCTAAGTAAATGAATCTGAAGTTATAGGATTAGAGTGCTCATCTTGCAAAAGTTAGAGGACTAAATTTGCTATTTTACCTTTGAAGAAATTGCAAAATGGTCCAGAAACCTGACACAGGTTTAGTGTCACCACCTAGTTTGTGGTTGCAGCACTATATGTTAAGCTTTTGAAAGATTTCGCGTGAAATACATGGAAGTGCCAACATTTACATTTTCGTATTGACACCAAATGCCCTTTCAATTTTAAGAATCTTCATTTTTGTTATGAGTCTTCTTTTCTAATAGAGTTTTTTTAAACTCTATAAAACCTATTCAAAACCAGACTTGAGAAGCTTTTTAAAGAGATCAAAAGAGAAACAACTAAGAGGAATTTAACATTAAAAAAAAAAGATTAAGATTTAAAATTTTATATCATCAAATTAATTTTACTTATTTTTGAATTTTGCTTTATGATGTCGGATATTCTTTATAGTTATTATGGGATATTTTATTTTATTTTCTTCAATTATGAATTTTAACCATCTAAACCGACACATGGGTTGGTCAATTTGATATAAAATTTCATAATTTTTATATTTTTAAGACTTATTATTTTATGTTGAGTGCAAGTTATTATTTTTATTACTTTTTAATGATTAACCACCATTAAAACTAACTTGGAGAGTACAATTAAGATCAACAAAAGATTTTATACAATAACTTCTAGTAATATATATTATGAACTGAACGAAAACTAAAGATGAACTAGTGTGATTTGTGTAGCAATATTAATAAGTAGACATGATTTGCTACTTAAATTAGGGAATTTATAGAATATAATATATTTTTATTTATTTAAATTTACATAGAGATACAATGGGTTAATAGATGAAGATATGTTTGGTATAATTTTAAAAAATATATAAAATAAAATACGAAATTTTATTGTCAGGTGAATAGTAAAGACTTTGGAAGTATACTAATTTAAATTTTATATTAATTAACTATGGTGAAATCAAATGGCATAGAATTTTCAACTCTTGATAACACTTAAAGTCAATTTATTTTTTAAAAAATTTATTTAGTTAATTAGTTTATTTAAATCATTTAAATTCAATTGTTTAAATAAAATTAGAATGAGTGAATTTTGATATTTAATTAGTCTACCATCTTTATAGGATGATATTTGATTTTTATCATTATATTATTTACTTTCTTATATTCTTGTTAGAGTGATTTTTTTTTTTTTTTTTTTAAAAACATGGGGAATTTTAGGAGGAAGGAAGTAATTTGCTATTACTGCAGTGTGTAGAACTCTAACATTTGCCAAAAGTTTGATACAGCTTAACCAATCCAATTAAAGTAGTAGGTGCTTATTAGAGTGAAATTAGCTTATCATTAAGTGTGAAGAAACTGTTCTACAAAGCAAGTTGAGTTAGAGAAAGAGCAAAATTAGAATATGATTACCCGAATCGGTTTAAGTGCACGATTCACAGGGCCAAATGCGTCAAGGAATGAACTCCGAATGGTGAAAATGCGTTGGCACTTGGCGCAGCGGATGGTTAGCAAAAGAGCTTTTTATTCGAACTTTTGCTAGATTGTTGAATATTTTTTACTCTACCATTAATCTCTGGATATATTCTATCCCTTTGAAAGGTATAGTGGAGAATCGGATTCAGTTTCTTTTTCTTTAGTGACAACTGACATAGATATCTTTATTCTAATGCATGATTCCTACCATAAGATATCCAGTACCTAAAAGTCAGAAATTTCCAATAGCGGAAACCAATTGGTATAAGTATTAGTTTCTGTTTATAGAACATATTTCCTTGAGTGGATGTCAAATGGATCTGAGGAAGACAAACTGCCCATGGACATGATAGATGGTCTGTTGAGTTTAAAATACCTTCACAAAGCATTCTATATGTATTGTGTTTGTTTGTTCAGCTCCCACAGATCCAATCTACCCACGACTATTATTTCTAACTTTTGCCCTGGAATTTGATAAAGAGAGTATCAAAATGGTGGAAAGCAACTCTCTTTTCTCAATTCCCTGTTCAGAAAGCAGGGTAGACTTAAATACGTCATATAAGGCAACTTTATTGTGAAGATATTCTCCTGCTAGCTTTGTTACAATGCTATGTGTGTTTTGTAAGGATTGAACTCTTCGGAGGATGAAAGTAGTGGTGTCTGCAGATATTGAAGCCAAAGGTATTAGAGAAACACATATATATAATTGGCGATCATATTAGGCTCATATTCATGCATTTCTTTAATTTCATTCCACCACCAAAGAATTAATATATAGAGAGTTCAACTTTTATCTTGAGAGACCTGTGATAATTTGCTACTGAACAATTTCTTCAAGAGATTGCCTCCTCTGTTAACTTGGTCCATGGTCTCTTCCATTAAATCCAACAGGTCTCCATATGTCGGACCAGGAAATTTCTTTAAGAGATCTACCAACAGGTATGTCAAAACACCATCCATTTTTCCAGTAAAAGTCTGCATTTAACAATGAATCTGAAACTACCATATATATACCAATACCATTCACAATATATAAAGTTTTGTCAATTATCATCCTTACTGAGCTATCTGCCGCATTTTGCTCATCCGTACAAGCACCAATGGAGATAGCCAATCCACCAGCTGTACTTTTGTAATTACCTGAAGGAGGCCTGTTATTATTCCACCTTTTCCTGTGTCAAACATTTAGAAAAAATTTTGTAATCTGGTAACAAAAATATTGGCAAAGAAAATGAGATTTAGGACTCATGCACTTACTCCTTTCTATCATACACACATGGGAGGTCTAGAATAGTTCCACTATGACAAGAATCAACAATGGCATGGAGTTTCACACCATTTTTGAGTGGACAAACTAAGATTGAATTAAGATCATTATCCACAATCATGCCTGTGTTCGAAAAATCAGATGGACATATAGTTTCGTCAAACCCATCCAGTTCATCTTCGTCAAAATCGCGTTTCCGTAAGCCATGTCCTGAGTAGAAAAAGACCAGGGAATCTCCTGGATGGCTGTCCTCCACCAACCATTTCAGGGAGCTCAGCATGTTTTCTTTTGTTGGAATAAATTCCTGGCGCGGCTCTTCCTCCGTGAGCACACGGATGTACTCCTTGGGGTAACCAAATTTATTCATCAACAACTCCCTCATGTTCTTCACATCATTAACCGTTCCCTTAAGCTCAAACTTCCTGCTCTTATAACTCACCCCACAGAGCATAGCACGCTTTGTTGGTCGTCTCGAAGGAGGAAACTCCACAGGATAATTGAAGGAAACAGCGGAATGATCACCTCTTCGGCTCGTCTTTCCCATTCCCTGCAACTTGTTTGTCAAATGGACCACCAAATGTCCGATTCCGTGTTGAGGTTGTTGGTGCTGTGGTTGGACTAGCTTCAGCTGACTATAATGATCAGAATTATTGTCTGGAATTAAAACCGGACACGTACACGAGCTGTAAACTGTTGGAGCCTGTGTTTTCACTGCTACCCTTTTGCTGCACCGAGGACATGAGAGGATTTTTCCAGCTTCCATTGATGCAAATTAAGAAAGAATGCAACGTGACACCAAAGAATAATAAGATTATTTGCAATGCGTAGGTTCAAGTTGATAGGCCAGTGCTCTTGCAAATATATATATATAGTTTCTATTGATTCTTAGAACTTCTTCCATTCATATCGGCGCCTAAAAAACAAAGGTGAACTGAAAGCTCGTGTCCTAGTGCTTATTAATTCAATGTCTATAGCCTACCGTTTACAAATGTAGAGAATATTTATGATGTCTTACAGCAATATTAACAGTGTGCTGCACCTAACCTGTAAGGTGCGTCTTCCATTAAGGCCTTAGGATTCGATTCTAGCCCCTTCTCAAAAAAATAAATAAGTAAAGAACGGTGTGCTAAGTCAAAAGTTGGAAGGACAAAGATTTGATGCTGCGTACGTAAGGCTCTAATTTATTTTCTTTTGGATGTTAGGGTTTTTGGGGTGAGGGTATTTGAATTTGGACTTCTAACCAGCAACGCTAGGTTGTCACTTGACACCAGTCTAATTAACCTGTACCTAAAAAGGAAGGAGGACATAAGAGGATTTTTCTAGCTTTCATTGCTGCAAATTAAGAAAGAATGTGATCCTAAAGAAAAAGATTTTTTTGCAACGTGTGGGTTGACAGCCGATGCTCTTGAAATATATATAATTGCAACTGATTCCTGAAACTTATTCCATTTTTATGGGAGTAGAAATCAACTTACACTAGTATGAGTTTAAGAAACCCTTATATTCATTTTTAGTAATTGTAAACATAATTGTTGTATTGATGTTGAAATTTAATTGTTGTATTGATCACTTAAATTTTGAAATAGATAACTGAGAATTAATGTAACAATCATGGCAGTGTAACTCTTTTAAGACTAGATATGATGGAGTAAGTTGTAAACTATTAATATCTACAATGGCACGGGAATAAAAAGGTGAGGTGAATCTCCTGTGCTCCTACTAATTTAATGTACATACTGTTTTTCTTGTTCTTCTTTTTTTTTTCTCTTCTCGAGCTGTTTAGTATAAATAACGTCTAATTAAAATTTGTAGTTTTTAATTTTAATTTTTATAAAATTTACAACACTACCGATGTCCTTGCTGAGAATAAAAGAACACCACTGAGTTACTAGTATTCTTGTCAAAATTGGACCCAATTCGAAAATTCGATCCAATTCATCCGTTATGAATAGTGAATAGAGTCATGAGTCTTATGTATTAATTTAAAATTCAAAATAATTTAGATTGAAATTATCTGAACTTAAATGGGTTGAATCACGAGTCGGTCGGATCACTCGAAATGACCCGAATTTTTTTTATTATATTACTTAAAAATTAATGTTAAATTTCTAATTTCCTAATACTAAAAATAAAAATAAATAAAATACTCAAACCCTCACCTTTCATCAATTTCACTTTCTCTCAACTTTTCCTCTTCTCCACTCTCGCTCTCCCCTTCTTCATCTCA